CACAAAAGGACACCCAACAAACAGACAAGTCCTGATTTGCTTTTTAGCTGTCTGACCTTGGACCATTCACTTAACTGCCTGGAATCTTGGATAAATATGGTGAGAAGGTAAAGAAAAGCCTCATAAATCCAATTCTTCATGGAATAGAATTATTGCTCTGCCTATTTGTTTACTTCACTCCTAGGTTATAAGTCTAAAGGGCCTCTAGTGGAAAACTCGGATATCTTAGAAAACCTGTAATATAGTTTGAATTGAAAAGTTGGGGATGGGTGGGCAGAGAAGGCTTTGATTACAAAGCAGCTGGTGAGGTGGGGGAGGGGCTCATAATACTTTGAGAACACACTGTACCCTTCCCTGAGTAACTGCTGACATTTGTTGTGGCCAGAATGAACTCATTTCTACCCTTCAGCTGGCAGGGCAGTTAAGGCCACTGTAAAACCAAAGGCTAGATTTATCCATTAGCTACTTTCAGCCAGAAACCTTGTAAGTACTACTTGACACCCTTGACTACCTTCCTGTCACTACACCGAGACCCCTGTGCTTCACTTCCCATTTTCGGTAGCACTGTGCAGTGGGAAAAACAGTAAGAGAAATCACATACCTAAGCTCATTGATACCTTCAGCTTACTGTCTGACCTCAGCCAATTCATTTCTTATCCCTGGCCCAGATAGGTTCCAGTAGACAGATGACTGTGGCTACATTTTGGAATTTCTTCTGTAAAGGTCCAGTTTTAGAGTACAGCCTTTCCCCTAAGATTCACCCCTCCTTTCAATCCAGAACATTAGTATATGCCCACACATTTGTTTGCAATTCACTGCCGTTAACTGAAGAAAGTCATGTCTCTAGCTGTCTTTTTTGGAAGGGGGTCTAGGAACTGGGAGTTGATCTAGAGAACAACAGACCCTGGAATCAGGTCCAGCTGACACCAGAGTTTTACCAAAACATGATGTCTCTGGGATGTGCGGTCTACCTATGTCATGTAAATACTTGGCCCTGGGCATCCAAGATACAGTAGAAGGGCCAGACACTATCTGGACAATTTACATAGTATTCCCTTCTTTACAGTTATCCTCATAATTCTATTCATTTTATTACCATTTTATAGATAGGAGAACTTCCAGAGCAGTGGTGGTAAACCTGTGGTGCGTGTGTTACTTATTTTTCTTTTTAAGACAAAAAGATGTAATGTGTAAGTTGTTTTTTCTGAACTAAAACCTTAATATTTAGGTTTGATTGCAGTGTTGGCACTTTGTAATGAATAAGTGGGTTTTGGGTTGCAGCGTCTAAAAGGTATGTCATCACTGCTCTAGAGTTTCATTTAGCAGACAGTGGCTATTGGTGACTGATTCATTGGAGATACAGGGCAACAACTAAGGCATTCCTTGCTTCTAAGAAGGGAAGAAAAGTAGAAGAAGCAGACAAGTAAACAGTGATAAAAGTACAGAGATTACCCAGTTTAGACGGCAGAGCCAGGGCTCAAACCCAGGTCTGTTCACATGCTGTTCCTGCTGTGCCATGCTGCCTACCTTGCATTGATGTCTTGGCTAGCAGTGGCCTCTGGAGAGTGGTTGTCAGTGGAGACCTGGCCTTGGATTCAGAGCTAGACTTTAGTCCTGGGAAGCCAACCAAGGTAGGGACTCTTATGTGGGCCCATTCATAGACTAAAGCACCTAATTTTATACACTTCAGAAGATGAACCCTGGAATACAAGAGTCCCATTCAGTCTATGGTACAAGATGGCAGGGAGGAGCATTGATATCCAAAGTTGGGTATGAGATAGGAGTTAGGGTAAGGGTTGTTTTAAGGTATTTTCTGGCTAGAGTCTGAGAATTAGATTTAAATTGCTGAATCCTATTTGAAGTGATAGAGCTAGGGGGATAAAAGTGAGACAAAAACAAGAAACTTTGGAGACTGTCAGGAGCCAGTTTTCAAGTTTAGAAACCAGGTTTTTTGGATTCTGTAATTCCAGCTTAAAAACCTTGACCAGTGTCTTCTCAGCACAGCATTTGCAAGTACTTGCTCTTTTGCTTAGAGTGTGCCATCCCTGGGCTATGATAATTTTTCAATCTTCCTGCTTCACTTTGGGCCCTCTTTTGTGAAGTCTCTGGTAATGCTAGGTTTAACTTCATCTGTTACCTAAGAGGAACTAACAGAGTGAGGTTCCTGTGTTGTGTGCTCAAGAGGCTCTTTACCAGGCTGAAGTTCTTGCTCTTACTAAGTTTTTTTTTTTGTTTTTGTTTTGAGACAAGATCTTGTTCTGTAGTCCATCCTGATCTTGAACTCATTGGGTACCCTAGGTTGGCCTCAAACTCGAAGCAGTCCTGCTGCCTTAGCCTCTTTGTGTTGGAATTATAGGAATTATGCTGGGCACTGAAGTTTATTTTTATGAAGAACACTAATCTCTACTACTGTACCTATAGTCTTCACATAACTGAGCTGTCTCCCAATTAAAATTCACAGAATTTTCTCCCCACATCCATCTACTTGTGATTTTAATTTTGAGGGTATCTCTCAGATCCTTGCCTTCCACTTTAGAGCTGGGTTTCTTGGGGGTGAGTTGGCATCTGTAGGACATTACATTGCTGTTTAAATACCTATTCAAGGACTGGTATGAGAACTTGAAATTTTAGTTTTGGCCTCCACGTTGAGGACACCTCCAAGGTCATTTTGTATTGTAGGAAGTCTAGGTGAGTTTTCTTCGGGGAAATAGCCTGGAGGGGAATAAGGAGAGTGGTTCTGGTCTTGCCATGGGCTTCCCTTTGTAACTTTGGTTAGATGCCCTTCCTAGTGTGGTCTGACCCTCTCTTTCTATAAAATGGTAGGGGGCCATCAGCACTGGTCTCATCAGGGACAGAATAGTCATCCTTGACACAGTCTCAGTTGCACAGAACACTGTTTCAGTGTGTGGGTTACTGATGATAACACCTTTAGGATTCTTCCTTCCAGCTGTGGAATGAGAAGGGGAAACCATCCAACTGTCTCATTAGTATAGCGAAAAGAAAACAGTAATTACTTGTGCCTCCCTTGATAATTCCTGCTAGGTTGGTTCTAAGGAAGGAGGAGGGGAAAATTGGAGATAGCTTTAGCTAAGGAAGGAGAAATACTTTAGCTTTCAGAATATACAAGGATGATTATTTTGTACATCTGCTATACTTTTGGACATTCCTCCAGGCAGCCTGGAGACTGCCTGGATTGAGTTTCATCTATTTATGGCATGCATTATGTTTCCGTGCATGGGCATGGCTTGGGGTTCAAGGACCCTAGTATCTCCTCCTATTAAAAAACCAACTGTTCTTTTGTGATGTTAGGCATCCTGACAAAACCTGTCTCTTTGGGAGTTTAAAGAAGGGTTACTGAGCCTTTTTTTTTTTTTTTTTTTGTGACTAGGCTGCATTTTTATTATGTTGTGAGATCATCTTTTTAACCCTCATGCTAACATAGTTAGTAGGTTTATTACTCAGATTATTAGACTCAAGGTCAGAGGCTAGGTGTAGGGGCACATGCCTGTAATCCTAGGAATTGGGAGGCTGAAGGGAAAGGATTGCAGTGAGTTGGAGGCCAGCCTAAACTGTGTAATGAGATTCTGTCACAAACAAATGAATCAAGGTCAGGTATCCTTTTGAGTGGGAGGTGTTAAGTAGAGCTGTGAGACCATTGGGTTTGGTCAAGGTTGAGAAAAGAGTTGAGGCAATTTTGAGGTCAGAAGGTTAAGGGCAACTGAAACAGAACTAGCACATTTAATTGGCAAGTTTGGCTCATGCAGCAGTCAAGGGCTGTTTGCTTTTACTCCCTGCCTGTGGCCAGTTGTGAGCCCTCAAGTGCTGAATGTGGCAGAGTGGAAACCACCTGCAGGTGAGCCCAGCCCTAGGGAGCCAGAAGGTTAGGCTGTGATTATCTTCTTACTCCAGGTAGTGGTTGTCACGCCAGGGGTTTTAGAGAACCCAGCTTCCATTTCCTTCTCCTGAGGAAGATAGTATGCTCCATCCTGGCCATTGCTACTCTGAACAGCAAGTGCTAGTCAGGAACTTGCTACTGTTTAAAAATTTCTTTTCCAAGTGTAGGCCTAGCTAGTTCTTCCGTCAGTCTCTACTCTTTGGCCCACTGAAGTGCTCACTGTCTTTTGTCCCATACCTTTTGCTTGATTCTTCACTCTTTGATGTCTAGGCTTCAGTTTCCTCATAATTTTCTCTTATATTCTTTTTCTAGCTCCGTCCCTTAGCCTTCAGCTATAGATTGCTAGTTTTCCTATCCTCTTGTAGAACCTATTCCCTGTTATTTTTAGATAGAGTGCTTGAAAATAATAGGCTGGCCCAAGGGAGGAGCACTTCCTTTTCAGATTGACTTGGGAGTTATCTGGGCCATAGTAAAGTGCTTTTCAGAAATAGGAATGGAATACACACGTGGGACACAGTCCATGCCGATTCTTGTAAATGTGTCTATATCATTATATAAAGCGTTTCGAACAGATAATTCTGTTCAGGCCAGGCCTGCTTGTTAGTAATTTCTTGATCTTTAGGGTGTGACATCCAAATTGATAAAAGTCCCTGTAAGCTAATCATAAGTTGGGGAGGTGGTGTTTTGTGTGTGTGTGTGTGTGTGTGTGTGGTACTGGGGATCGAACTCACAACCTCACACTTGGCAGGCAGATGCTTATGCCGCTGAGCTAAATCCCGGCCCCAAGGTGGTTTATATAAGTTGCAGTACCATTTGCTTGTATACTTGGATTATGTTCCTGCCTGTTTTGCCCCAGGTATATAAGATCAGGTATGAAATGGGAAGCTTTTGTCTGCTTCTTAAAATTTTATAGTTAGTGCCTAATTTGATATGCAGGAGGCTCCTTTTCTTTGGGAATGAAAAAGTGCAAGGTGCATACAATAGTAGAAAAGACTGTGGAGCAGACCTATGTTCCAATAAATTATGAGAATAATTAAGGCTTTGGGTGCAGTGCATGCTACGTAATAGGTGTGATAGCAAATTACATTTCTTTCTCTTCTTTTAGGACTTTTTGCTTCAGATTTATCCTTCTGTAATACTTGAGTCAAATAACAATACTTAGCATTCAGTACTACGCTGGGCCCTGAGGTAAGGACTTTCCCATGTTGTCTTATTTATGAAGCAGGAATCTTTTTAAACACATGTTGAGAACTGCTGAGGCACAGAGAATAAATACCTTACCTGAGGTTACAAAGCTAGAAAGGCAGAACTGGGATTGAGATCCGGGTGCTAAAACTTGTACCACAGAATTGTGGTCATCACAGTGGAACCCAAGTATTTGTCATTAATTGATTCAGGGAGGCCAGATAGCCAAATCATTTTGGCTGGAAAGGGTAGCAATTCTGAAATAGTTGACACAAGACAAGTTGTCCTGAGTGGGGTACTAAATTAAGGGCAAAACTTTCACACCAAAATGCTTTAAATACCAAATACAGTGAGTTTCAACACGATTGAGTGTGCCAAAGTATTAGTGTATTACCTTTCTGTTATTTTCACTGAGTAATACGTGATTTTTAGTGGTTCATTGGTTCTCTCTACTTGCACCTTTTGAGATTTGTGTGTATGTGTTTTTTGAACTTTTTCTGATTTGAGTTGATGCCTGTCTTCATGGAGGTACAGACAGTGCCACTGTCTGCCATAATGCTTCCTAATTCACTCACCTAGAGTTAGTTAAGTCCTTTAACTGAAAAGCTGAGATAGCCCTTAATGGAGGCCATTCTGTTACTCCTTTTTATTGCTTCTTATCAAACCATAAATTTAAATGTTAATTTGTTATTGTCAGTGTTTAATTCTTCAGAAGGGTAGATAATGATCACCCTCATTCTACAGATCTGAAAACCAAGTTTTGTTCAGTCAGTGAATTAGAGGCAAAGCTGGAGCTAGGCTTTGAAATTTCTGACTCAGTCTAATGCTCTTGAAACTGAAGTCACTAAGCTGATTTATCCAGCTTTGCTATGTTGAGGATACTTCTACCACATTCAACAGAACCACATTTTCAACATTTTTTCTTGGTTTACTGATGGGCTAAAGCCTGACTAAATCCACATATGCTGGCTTTTGCTGTCTGGCTTTTGTTGTACCATTCCTGTAAGTTAGAATAGTTCATTCTGAAGGAGGGGGGTGAACCAGCAGCCTTTCCAATTTGGTCAGTTGCTCATACATTCATTTTTTTGTATTTTATTATGGGCTTTTCTGGGAGATGGCAAGTGAATCCCAATAGAGTGAATTTGGATATTCTGGGGTCCAGATTCCAGCCTCTGTCTGGGCCTCCAGGGACACTCTTCCTATACCTTTCAATAAGGAAAGACTCATGTATAAAATGTGTAGATCAGGCCTAAAAGTGAGCTGATCTGCAGATCTAGAGAGTTCCAAAGGGACCTTGGCTCTTCTGTCCACATTTTCATTCCAGTTCACTTAACACACCTTTGAGGAATTCAGAGGGGAGAAAAAAAACTTCCTTTTAGAATTCAATAAAGTTTGTGACAAGAGTTCCGGAGCATGTTTATGTCCCCTCATCCATAAGGAGGATAGACTCCTAGGGTTTGTTAATCTGTAATAACTTTGGAAGGAAGCAGTTTACTCTCTCCAGGCTTTCAGCTAGACCAGGCTGGGGTTGGTTGAGACAGAACGGTAGTGAGGACTGACGATGGGAATCTTGAGAAGATTGTTGTTAAGTATTTCCTCCTGAAAGATTTGGTTTGGAATTTGGACAGGTAAGTTCCCTTTGTTTAAAATTTATAAAAAGGAATTTCTGTTACTCTTAAAAGTCTTTGGTTTTTAAACCAAAAGGAAAAATAAATCTTTTCCAAAGTCCAGGCCTCAGACATTTCAGTCCTACCCAGTATCCCCTTGTAGTTTCCCGTACCCTCTCTCCTTTTACCCCTTTCTTCATCTTGTTACTTTGCTCCTTGTGCAATTTTCCTTCTTATCTTCTGGCTTCTTCCCTACTTCATGAAAACAAGAATAGGAGAAGGATACCTTCAACTAATAGAATCATAGCTCTTTCAGATTAACATGGACCTTGAAATTTGGGATCTTTCTTCTAGTCCTCAGAACAAAGGTTGATGGGGCAGGTGTTTGTTTTTTCATTTATTCACATGTTCTCCAAATACTTCGTAACCCCTACTTGCCAGGCTGGGAGTTAGGTGCTTGGTCTGTTACAATTAATAAGACTCTGCCATAAGAGTCTAAAGGCGAAGATAGAGCAACAGGCAGCCCCTTTCCCCCCAAATCAAATAATTGAATTTTGAGGTTGAAAGACCATTAGAGTTTTATCTGGTTATGCTTTCAATCCCCCCCCCCCCACGCCAGTATTTTTTCCATGTTGTTCTTTATTGAAGTAAGGCAGTCCATAAAGTAAGGAATAGCGTGCAGGCTTTGAAAGTGTTTCCAGAGCTTAAGGCAAAAACTCAGCTGCCAGGGTCCTATTTATATAGGATCTCCAAATGATATAGGGGAAATAACAGTTTGTGTTTCCCAGAATAAAAAAATGAATTCTGAGAAACAATAGAGCTAAGAATAGGTAAGCTTTATTGGAAGAGAGAGTGCCTGAGAGACAGGAGAGGGTCCACATGGGTTACCAACAAGTCCACTTCTCAAAGAAAGTTTTATAGGGCAAAATTATGAGATGGGTACAATGTGGGACAAAACTATGATCAACCAATAAGGTTACAAATGTAGCTGCTTAGGTAATATTGATCCAATGGGGAAGCAGTCACATAGCAAGTGTACATGGAAAGAACAACAACTTTTTTTGAAAGAGGGAGTCAGGAGGTCCTGGTCACCCAGCTGGGTGACTGATGTCTATCTAGACTCTTGACCTTTATTTGATATCAGTTTGTAGTACATTGTTTATCCCTTGGGGAGGCAGGTAGGCCTATCATTCTGTCTTTATTTTGAGGCCTGGCCTTCCAGCAGATGCATATCCAGTCAGTCTTAATGTGTTCTCATCCTCTGTGCTGACTCCTTCAAGGGTCTAGCCCTGTCTGACTGCCTGTAGTATATCTAGCTAACTTAGCTGTCTGTAATACTAATCAGATCAAATTTGATCACCAGTACCATTATACTAGTCAAGGACATGAGCAGTGGGAGTGGCCAGGAAAGGAGCTTTAATCAGCATGGGCAGGCTGGGAAACAGAGATGAAGAGGTTCAACATCTGTTTTTGAAGAGGTGACAAAAGTTTTAGGGTTTTATAGAAAAAGGGAACAAAGTCAAAGGCTGGGTGTTTTACATAGCTGGCAGTGTAGGTAACCCTGATCTAGTTGAGCTGCATCTCAAGACTGATTCTGCAAAGTTCTGGGAGAGAGTGTTATGGTTTGTGTCTAGATGTTCCACAGTCTTACGCAGTTTTACATGGGGCTTTTTCAGAGGTGGCAGAATCTAGGGTATGTGATTCATGGTGCAGTAGTGGGATTAAATGTGCTAGGCTTAAGGGTGGGTGATTACTAAAATCAGCCCACTGATTGGTTTGTTGCTGCCCTAATTCTTGTAGTCAAATAGAATATGAAAGGGGGAGAAGAATGCTGCTAAGGTCCCTAGCTTGCTTTGCTTATCTTCTACCTACCATGAACTGTTTCTCCTCTTCAGTGCTACCCTGCCTTGGAGCCAGCCAGTTATGGACTGAAACCTCTACAAACTGTGAGCTAAAACTTTTCTTTCTTTAACTTTGGGTGTCAGGTATTTTGTCTCAGCAATGAGAAAAGTTTTTAAGATAGCCATCATCGCTTGAAGATGCTGTTTAGTTCCTATCATGAGATAATGGGTTCTGCTTCTGGGGGCCAAGGGCAGCCTTGGTTCCTAGGGTAAATGTTTCTACTTGGGCATGGAGACTGCATCTTGGAGTGGTCTATGAGGCTTTGCTTTCTCTAGAATCTGAGGTGACTGCAGATTTAGAATAGTGACTGGCGACTTACAGGCATACCAGGGGTCTGGATCTGGATGTATAAAAGCTAACAATATTGGATGTCCTGGCCAATTTTGAAAATTACTTTTATTCCTTGTATCTTAATATTCTTAGTTTTTAAAAGGAGTAAGATAGGCTAGGTAAATTCAAAGCTAATAATAAGCCTGTATTACAGACACTATTAAAGTGATTAACATAACTACCTGCAGAGCTGAGCAGCAATATAACCCAAAATTTTAAGGTAATAAAGAGGACAGATACAAGAAATGAAGACAGAAATGCCAAGCTCCATCCTACTTTTATACCCATTGGGCATCTCATGGCCAAGCCTCTCTAGGTCCCTGTAACAAAAGCAGGCCTGAGGTCAAATCCTGACTCAGCTACTTTGAGCTGTTTGATCTGAATGACACATTTTACCTCACCTATTTTCAGTTACTTTGGCTGTATAGTGGATATGCCATCATCCACTTTTACAATGTGGCATGCGAATTAGCAGCTTAACTCTTAACTCAGCACCTTAGGACATAGTAGTATATAGGAGACCCTTTGCAGGGACCCCTGCAATGAATCTCTGATCTCCTGCCAAGTGTTATAGTACATGATGAAAGAGCAAGAGACAGAATAGGGGTGCAGCAGGGATCTAGGATGACCATTTATTCATGGGGAACAAAAAGCTATGAGACTAGACACCCAGAACCTTGGTATTTATTCATTACATCTGAATCAAGGAAAATAGATGATAAGGGGTAGTGGATGTTTCCAGGAACAGTTATAGTGATGGCTACTACTACAGTGGGCTAGTAAGAAGAACAGAGCATTCTTGTCAGAACAGGGACAATACTGGGGAATGTGGAAACTATAGTTTTCCCAGGTGCCTTAATCATCTGTAGCAGGTCTTAGCTTGCTCTGTGAGTGCCACAGCACTTACTAGCTCTAGGGCTTCCATCTGTGACTGAAAAAGAGTAGGGAGTTCCTGAGTTCCGGTTTAGCTCAAAGGACAGGACAAGGACAAGCTTAGATGTCCCCTAGACTCAATTTATAATTTGTGGTCCCCAACAGTAGTGATATAAGAGAAATGTAACTTCCAACCTGCTATTTTTCAATCTGTTAGATATCAGACATGGTGAATTGTGTCTCATAAAATCAAAGAATGAATTCAAGGAACAACAGAGGTTAGGAGTAGGAAAGATTTATTGAGAAGTATCTCCTGAAAGACAGGAGGGGTCCCAAAAGTGGGTTGACGAGGTCATTTCTCTTTTGAGAATGTTTTATAGAGTGAAATCATAAGGTGAGTACAAAATCACAAGGCAAGTACAATGTGGATCAAATTGTAATCAACCAATAAGATTACAAATATAGCCATTTAGCTAATATTGATCCAGTAGGGAAGCAGAGTAGCAAGAGTACATGAAAAGAACAAAGTGATTTTTGGGAAAGGATGGGTCCAGATTCTCTGGTCACCCACTTGGGTGACTGATGTCAAGCTGAACTTTACCAGATAGGTGATAGTGACAATAGTTTAATTCCAAGTTATTACTTATCCTTTAGGGAGTCATGTAGGTCTGGCCCTTACATCTTTATCTTGAGGTCTGACCTCCTTCATTTATGCCACAATTCTTATGTCTTTATTTTTCCTGTTGACTTGTTGAGAGCCCAGTATCTCTCTGACTGTATATTAATTTCTGTCTAACTTGGCTGCCTGTAATCTTAGTACTGCCTTGTGTCTTCCTCAATCAAGGCCTGACTTAAATTTTTACTCCTTTTATGGCTTCTGAGGCCACCCTACATCAAATGGATTTCTTTGTCTATTTTTTTGTTTTTTGTTCTTGGAAATAAGTCTCACTAGGTAGTTAAGGCTAGCCTCAAACTCATTATCTTTGTTCACTTTTATAATACATAAAATTCTTTTTTTGGGGGGGGTACTGGGGATCGAACTCACAACTGCGGCTTGCAAGGCAGGCACTTACACCGCTGAGCTAAATCCCCAGCCCAATACATAAAATTCTTTAAATTATTAAATCTTGCCTAGTAGTCTTAGTATTCCTGTGTGGATAGTTGATATGGTCCCACCCTAGGTTGCAGTCTGTCTAAGAATAAGTTCTGTTCTCAGTCATCTTCTCATTTGCTACAACCCCTAATTCAGCTGTTTATACAGGAAGGCCAGTCAGGAAGATAATATCAAGAAATATTTTGTAATTGGATAGAAGGCTCATGGGTGACAGCATTTTTCATCTGATAGGAGCTGTGATAGACTTGGATAGGAGTTTTCTAATTCCTCTCATTTCTTGTTATTTTGTCTCACAAAAACCCTGTTTTGGCAGGATAGGAATTGTTTTGAGGTAGGATCTTACTGAGCTCCAGATTGAGTTTGAACTTGCCATCCTCCTCAGTCTTCCAGAGTGCTAAGATTACAGGTTGTGCCACCACCATGCCTGGCCAACAGGATAAGAATTGTATCCCTATTTTGTAGATGACAGAACTGGAGCTCAGATTAGAATCTAGTTTCTTGTTAGGAGATAAGTCTAGACTAAGATAAAAGTAAGAGCATTGGGAATAGAAATCTTAACTGACTAGGTCTCCATTCTGTGGAAACACTGGGAGTCTCCGGGAGAATGAAAGGGAAAAGATGGACTTCATTCTTGAGGCTTTAGCCAATGGTAAAGCCAAAATTAAATGTAACCGTAAATCAGAGATGTTCATGAATATACCAGAGAAAATGGTGAGAAAAGGTTCAGGATTATTTGATAGATTCTTCAGATTTCTGAAGATTAGGAAAGATTCAAGTATATATAGATGAAGAGGCAACACCATGGAAAAAAGTATTAGAGATGGTAAGCACAGTAGAGGTAAGGCAGATGATGACCAGATGATCACAATCACGTATCTAAAGAATGACACCGAGGCAACTGGGAATGGTAACTTTTTTTTTTTTTTTTTTGGAGCAGGAGAGTGGCATTAGGACTATTAGGGGCAGTGGATTGGAGCGGCATTTTGGAGGGAGACTATTCTCATAGTCTGTTCTTTTCTTTCTTTGCTTTTAAAAAGCAGTTATTTTATTTTATTTTTTTGGTACCAGGGATCGGACTCATAATCTGGCGCTTGCCAGGCAGGCGCTTATGCCTCTGAGCTAAATCCTTGACCCTTATTTTATTTTAAAGCATATAAAACCAAGGAAAATAAAACAGAATAAAACCAAACAAAAATAAACCAGTATAAGTGATACAGGACTTCAAAATCTTATGAAACCAAAAATAGTTACCGTAATACCTTTTGTTATCTTCAAAATAGCTGCAGATACTTTCAGACATAGTAAAAATCAAACAGCAGAGTAGAATAGAAATAAAGCCAAACAGTGAATACAATAAAGGACTTCAAAATAAGCCACTAGTAAATATAAAATGGCTACCATACTTTGTCTTGTTATCTTTCAAATAGCTGCTCCTGCCATCAGATTTAACATTTACATAAACAAACAAAAGAGAATAAAACCCAACCCAACAAAACAATGAAAATGATATGGTTTTCCAATTGGTATCCTTCCTGGTGAGGCCTTGATCTGCAGTACCCTGCAGTCCCAGAATGGCACAGACTCACTGAGAAGGGCATGGGTGTGGCTATCCCCCCTCTGGCAGCTGTGGGTGCATCTTGCTGCTTTCCAGGTGGGGATTACCTCCTGGTCTCTCATAGTTTGCTCTTGTAATCCCAGTAAATTTTAAGAAATATTTCAGTAGTGAAGCAAGAGTTATTGCAAATAACCCCTCCCACTTTGAATCTTACACCCACTGGGTAACTGTTAAACCCCTACACGTTATAATATGATCCTCAGTCAAGAGGAAGATGAAGGCTGAGGATGTGGCTCAGTCCTAGTACCCTTGCCTGGCACTAGCAATGCCCTGAGTTTGATCTTCAGCAATGCAAAAACCAAACCAAAACTAAAAAATCACAAAAAGGGGAAGCTAACACAGAGAATAAAGAAGACCCATGTGAATATAGAATTCTTAGAGGAAAAACAAAACACAAGGACTCAGCAGTTGTGGGAATAGAGAAGGAAGGGTTGGATGAAACATGAACTTTGGAGTCTCAAGAACCTAGGAAAATGGTTATACCATTTGCTGAACTGTGAGGCTGAGAAATAGTTGAGTACAGTTTGTTGACTGTTGAGTTGGAGATACTAATAGGCTAATCCTGGTACCATTTGCCCACTGCCTTTGTCCTTTTACCTGGGCCTGCAGATAGCTTCAGGTCCTGGGTTTGCTGTTTGTTCCAGGAAACCTGCCCCGCACCCCTTTTCTGTACTCATACCTTGAAGCAGTTCTTATTCTCTCCCTGAAATAAGATAGCACACTGAGATGCTTAGCCTAGTACCTAGTCTTACTTTATTTTTTTCCAAACCATTTTATTTCAAAGTTAGATAGAAAAAAAGAAGGAAAAAAAACTACAACAAAATTTCAAAACATGTCAGTCGGGGCAATAGCGGAACGTACATGGTGCGTGTCATCCCCAGGTCATTAACCCAGAGCACAAGACATCTTATTTTATTTTTTAAAATTAATTTTATTGTTACCTTTTAGATATATATAATGATAGCTTTCACCATAGGGAATTGGTACCTGTACATGATAATATCTTGCTACTTTTTTGCTTCTTTTCAGCCCCTTTTTATTTATAAAAGCTTTATTTCCATTTTTTTTCTTCTAGTCTCCTTTACCCAGTCTATTTCCAAGTAGGTAATAAATGTTAGTGGCTGTTAAATTGCTGTTGTTTTTCCCAGGCTTTGCATCACAATAGCTAGAGATTAGAGAAGTCTCTGGAACCATCTGACTGATGGACTTAAAGTCCTTCAATTTGTATGTAGTAAAAAGCCTAATCTTCTTTATTGCACTTACCCCACTACCTGTATTGCTGTATACAGTGTACAACTGTAGTCCCTGCACTCAGGGAGGCTGAGGCAGAAAGACGTCAAGTTCAGGCCCAGCCTGGCCTATTTAAGAAACTTCATGAAACACTATCTCAAAAAATAAAAAAGGGCTGAAGATGGAGCTCTGTGCAAAAGCCCTGGATTCAGTCTCAGCAACCCCTGCCCCCCCAAAAAGCCATGACTGCAAGTAAATGAAGATGTCAGGCTTGCTTGTAAATAAGCAGGTGGGCCTATCAGCTGAACTAGAGAACATATTTCCTGCTTGTCTTCTTCTGTTTTTGAGTACAGTATAATGTGTGGTTAAGAGGTAAACCCTAGGTCTGGGACTTCCTGGGTTCATTCTGTTAGCTGTGGGGTTGGGGCAAATTTAATTAACTCTGTGCTTCATTTTTCTCACTGGTAAAATAAAGACTATAGTAGACACTGACCTTGTAAAATTGCTTCAAAGATCAAATGAATTAATAGAAACAAAAGGTTTACAATAGTATCTAACATGTACTACACTTTTGTTTGCACCAGGATTACCTCTATACCACGTTCTTGGAAATATAGGGATTGCTCTGTTCTTACCGTTCTCACTGAACAACAGAGAGGAAGAGGAGCATAATCCTAGAAACATGAGGTCAATACCGGAGGCTCACATAAGTCTTCTTCTTGTCTAGCTGTTACTGCCTTAGGGTCTGTACACTGACATGCCCTCTTTGGGATAGTCTTCATCAGAGTTTTGTGGGTCTTATCCTCTCACTTTATTCAAGTTTTTGTGTGATGCCGTCTTTTGAAAAGGCCTTCCCTGACCACTTTATCTGAATTAAATATTCCTCATATTCCTTGTCATTTTTTTTTTGTTGTTGTTGTTCCTTACTCTATTTTAATTTCTTTATTCCACTTAGCACTACCTCTCATGGTATATTTAATAATGTACCTTTCACTAGGATGCAGTGTATGAGAGCAGAAACTGTGAATGCCTGTATTATCCTAAGTTTATGTCTGTTCATACAGAACCGTATAATGGACTTCTCTGTTACAGGGAACACCTATTTCCAGAGGCAGCTGCTGCTGACCTTTTATAAGCCAAAGGAGAAAATAGCTGGCTAAGTTCAGCCTTGGTACTGGTAAGTGGACAAATTTGGGGCAAGCTTGGCCTAAGACATAGATAGAGTAACTAGTTTGGGGACTATTTTTTACACTTAGTGCAGATAACATACTGATCATTATGCTGATCATTAATCTACTTAATATTTAAGAGAATGGATGTTAGCAAAGGTAGCCTCCTAGTCAGAGAGGATGTTGAAAACATTATCTTGGGCTGAGTTTTCACTTTTTAAATTAATTCTTATATATAAAAATTTTTGGAAGCTATTTATTCATCGGTCACTGTTTATCTGTGAACTAAACACACTTTCAGGTGTTTGAGATGTAGCAGTAAATAAAATAGTTCTATTGTAGTTTACATTCTAGTGGAAGAAAGCAGACACATGAATAAATATAAAGAAAAATAAAGCAGGATAAGGAAGTAGGGAGGAACTAAATTATCAAGGAAGGCTTGTCTGATCAAATAAGATCTATGCATGAAGGTACAGGAACTGAAGTAGTGTGCTATGTATGTATCTTGGGCAATAACATTCCAGTAGTTGGAGCAACAAGTTCAGAGGCCTTGAAATAGTAGTATGCTTGTAAGTGTTTGAGATACAAAAGGAGGCCAGTGTGGCTACGCAGGAAGTAAACAAGGCAGGAGAGTGGAAAACGGGAGAAGTCACAAAGATAGACAGGGAAGGCTTTCTTCTGAGTGAAATAGAGAACCATTGGAGGAATGACATGATCAGATGTTTATTAAAAAAAGAAACCGCCTCTGATGCATCAGTTGGTACCTCTACTACTTTATCTAGGACAGTGTTCAGGAGAATTGGTGAAAGCAGACAGCCTTATGTTAGTACCAGTTTGATATCAGTCCTTTACCATTCAGTTATTTTTTTTCCTTGTGGATGACTTATCAGATTAAGAAAATTCTTTTGTATTCCTAGTTTGAGAGACTTTACATAGATATTAGATTTTGTTGATTGTGTGGTTTTGTCTTCTGTTCTGCTGACATTGTTTTATAGTAATAAATTTTTGGATATTAAACCAACTTCATGTTTGTAAAGTAAATCCAACTTGGTTTTAGCATATACTTTTTAAAAAACAATACTGGGTTTGATTTGCTGAAGGACTGGTTTAAAGTATTCTTATGGTGTCTTTGGTTTTGGTATTGGTAATAATATCTTCAAGATGAAGAAGAGTATGTTGCCTCTGTACTGGGTAAGTTTGTAAAAGATTGGTGTTAATTCTTCAAATGTTTTACAGAATTTACCACTGAAGCCTAGTGAGTTTTGGCTTTTTTTTGGGAAAATATTGCTATTTCAATTTTTTCCTTTTTTATAGGTCCACCTAGATTTTCTTTCTTTTTGAGTCATTTTGATAATTTCTAAGAATTTGCCTATTTCATCTACGTTTTGAATTTATTGGCTTCAGGTTTTTTTTTGTTTTTTTTTTACAGCACTTTCTTAAAATCTTTTTAATTTCCATAATACATCTCTTTTAATCTTACTTTCTGACCTCTCCTTGCTTTGGGTTTAGTTTGTTGTTGGAGCTGTAGCACTACATCATCATCTTTCAAGGTGAAGGAACAAACATTTGACCCAGGAGGGATTGGTAACTTTAAAAGGTAGAAAGAAGGCCCATTGTCTGCCAGTATAATCATCATATGGTGTCTAGAGAATTGTGTATTGGTGTGGTGTGGTGTGTGTGTGTGTGTGTGTGTGTGTGTGTGTGTGTGTGCGCGCTAAGGAAGGCTGCCAGAACAGCTCATATAAGAAGCAGCTGTCTTTGTTCACTCTACACCCAGGAATTCTGGCCACATTTTATTGCTTTGGTTCCAGAAACAGCTGTCTCTTTCTTGAAGGTTGTTATCATGGCAAAGCAATGTCACAGCTTGCTTTGGGGGAAAAAGAGTGGCATACAAAAGGGTCTAGGCCCCTTTGCGCCCAGCCCCCCTACTGCCTTCATTTTTTTCACCAAAATTGCAGAGAATCTTTCTAGCTTTCCCCTGGGACAGTAGGCCAGAGCAAAAGATCAGCCAAACAAGGGAGAGACCAACTTACCCTATAGATAGGTCAGGGTAGTTCTAGGAATATTGGCCATAGCAGAGAGTCCTGAACCTAAGATTAGAGTTGAGATATCAGAATCCAAACTAGGAGACTGGAAAATTACATTTCAGAAAAATGAGGGCCATTAGCAACTGTGGTGCAAGAATCTTGGATGATGGGCCGTCATTATCTAACTGGCCAGAAGTAGGAGGAAAGTACTGTTCTGTAACAACAAAAGACCCCATTAACACAAAACAGAAATTGCTTCTTTTGAGACTGTCTGTTGTCATTTTGTATTATCTGAAACTTCACTCTCCATCCTTAACCCTCATCCACTACCTGCTCCTTTCTCTTCAGTTAGTGTGATCTGTCAAGTATATTTAGAGCATACAGCAAAAGACAAAAGCTGTTGATGGAATATGTGGTCTTTGGGAAGATTAATTAGCTGCATCTTTCTTACTATTCTGTGTATTCTTTAAAACCATAGGCCATCTGATGTTGGAGGAAGGGAGGAGGTTTTAGAATCAGATTTACTAAGATCTGAATCTGTGGACTTTTTTTTTTTTTTTTTTTTTGTGAGACTAACCTTTGAGCTGTGCTTTCCTCACCTGCAAAATGAGAACAATCCCACTGAGATACTTCAGTACTTACTAATTATTCCTAGAGGCACAATGAGTACCAAAATGACTGAGTGCCAAACAAATTATTTTGGCTAGAAAGGGAAGCAAGTCAGGAGACAGTTGACACTGATAAGTTCTAGCTAATGTGAAATACCAAACAAATGACAACGGGACAAAATTTTCATATCACAATGTGTCAAGCACCAAATTTGAAGTTTCAAAGCAGCCACCAAGGTATAAATGTACTTTCTATGGTCATCATGATGCTCGTAGGTGGGGGAAAAGAAGTGGACCTGGATTGGTATTCAATTACAAGTGACTGAAGTCAATTTTGAAACTGTGGGTTCATTGTTAGATTGAAAAAGGAGAATATGATGACTCAGACTCTGAGCTTTATCTTGCTAACTCAGCTACAGGAACCATTTTATTTCTGGGCCTCAGTTTCCTCAGTTCTGTAAGGAGAGAATGAGATAGAAGAGTGATCTATAGTTGGCTGATGTCCTTGGCAGTTTTGTGCCTCTATCAAAGACTTGTCTGTGGTACTAAGACCTGAAAGAGCCAAAGGAGGAGCCTCAGTTTCAGTCCTGCTTAAGGCTGTAGCAGGTACACTTAAAAAGATGGAGCTATTATCTGTAGTGAAAAGATGTGGGAAGTGACTGGGAGTCTGCGGCAGGGGCAGTGACCTTGTTACTCAGCACTTGGGGGTGAAGGGTGAGGTGTGGGCGGGGAGAAAAGAGCAGAGTAGTTGAAAGTTTGGAGAGTGAGTAGTTAGCAACTGTGAGAGAAAGCATGATCAAAGGACCTAGTTTGTGCTGTTACCCAGTTGCTAAGTGTTCTAGTCAAGCATTTTGTTTTTGCAGCCTCCACATCTTCATCTGAAAGTTAATTGAGTTAGGTGTTTTTCCAAGGGCCTTTTCTTTGTCACCTCTTTTCTGGCTTTCAAACTCTGTTGTTTACCAACTTTGCCCTTGGTGTTAAAGGTTCCATTGTGGAGAAGACTTCAACCAGCCAGGCTTTGTCTATCCTTAGAGTGTTTAGACTGCTCTTGAAATCATAATTTCAAGCCACCTAGAACCATCCAGTTTCTAACCGTAAAGTTAATGTCTTGGTCTTCCTCATCCAACCCACTTGTTTAACACTGAGAGATAAATGAAGGAGAAAAGAAACTTGGCAAAATCTGAATATCAGTTCTGCCAGTACTAACTTAATATTTCTAAGCCACAATATTGTCATCTGAAAGTGGGGATAGTGATACAGAGTAGGGATAGAAAATTATTATTCAAAAGAGGGAAGAAAAAACAGGTCTGAGAAATGAAGTCATGAGGCAGGCCTCTTGTGTCTCATTTTCTTCTAGAGCCAAGGTCAGTTGCACCTATCTGTATAGTAGCAAAGATTGGAACCGGAAAGCATGTCAGCTTTCTTAACATCTCTGCCAACAGCCTTCTCAAATCCCCTGTGGTGTGTGTCAGTAACACAGCCTGTACTTGTTTTGGAACAAGCTATCCATAAGCACTCGTGTTAGATTTGCTTTGGCTGGTACAAGATCCAGATGCTCTTAGAATAGCACAACAGATTCTCCAAATCTCACCCCATTCCCATTTTGATCCACTCAGTTCTGATGTACTGTAGCCTGAGGTTTATTGTCCCTGAGTCTTCCCTATCTGATACATGAATCACATTCAGTCTTTTGCTAGTTTGCGTGTTCCTCCTGGGGTAACATATTATGTACCTTACTGTGTGCCTGGTATTGTGGTAGGTACGTTAACTTTATCTCTGTAATCTAACTCATTAAATTAATAACAGCTCCAGAGGGGAAAGCTGAAGCTCAGTGAAGTAAATGGATTTACTGAAGTCACATACATAGTCTTTGAAAGAACTAGGTTTTGGACTAATGCCTTCCTGAAACCATAGACTGAGCTCATTACTCTGTAATTTTGCCTGCCTATGGCCTCTGGCCTCTGGCCTCTGGCCATGGTACTGTACAAGGGCAGACTGTTCACAAGTCTCCAGGAACAGGCATGGTGGCCTAGAAATAATGAAATATCATCTATATCTTAGGTTCATTTTCCACTTCTCTCCTTCAGACCACCTCCAAAACCCAGTTGTAGGGTCCAGAGATCCAGGCAGAGAGTCTTCCATCTTCAGCAGTTTTTAAGTCCTCCTGAGGAGGTTCTTTCCCTGGACCTACCTACAAAGGCTTCAATTGCAAAAGGGACAGGCCCTCTTTAGTCTCTGTATGTTTTTGAGCCCCTCTCTGCCCTTTTGTCCCCCTCCTCATTCATTCATACTCAGCTGTTAGCAACTTCTTAATGAGACCCCTTGTCTTTTTAGCATAAGGTGAAAAGAGATATTTTTAACTCTATTTCTCTG